GCTGGAGCAGCAGTTCTTCGTGCTGGCGGAGTACCTCCGGGACACGGGTGTCCGCGCGGCGCACGCGGTGATCCGCGGCGAGGAGGCGGCGGCGGTGGCGGAGGTGCTGCGGCGGTCGCTGGTGACGTTTGGCGGGTCGCTGCGGTCCGCGACGCTGCTGGCCGGCGGCGACGCGCTGGCGGGGCACCTGCCGGAGGCGGGCGACGTGTTCGTGGCGGGCCTTGCGGCCGGCGACGTCGCCGCGGTGGCGCGGCACGTGGCGTCGCACGACGGCGTGCGCGTGTTCGTTCCGTTCTCCGAGTTTGCGCTGCTGCACGCCGACTTCGTTGCCGCGTTCGGTGGCGGTGCAACTGGCGCCGGCCGCGTTGTGTTTGCGACGAGCCTGCCGCACTGGAACGACGCGAACTCGACGTCGGAGACCGCCCGGGAGTTCCTCGCCGCTGTGCCCAACGCCACGCAACGGACGCCGCTCTCGCTGGTGGGCTTCGTCACCACGCAGGTGCTGCGGACGGTTCTCTCCCGCATGGACAAGGTGAGCGCTGCGCGGCTGGCCGACTTCTTCTACAATAACGTCGCCGGCGCCGCGAAGGACATGCTGTACGGCCCCTTCGTTAACGGCACGGCGTGTGCTGCGGCTGCGGTCGGCGGTGCTGGGTGCGGCAAAAACTACGGGGCGACGCGCATTTCTGTGTGGTCGCTTGCCCGCGCGCTGGACCCCGTCGAGCGCGTGCTGCACCCCGCCGTGACCCCGACTATGCGCTACGCGGAGCCCGCTGCGCGCGGACTGACGCGACCGCAGCTGATCGGCGTCGTCGACGGCGGCATCCTTGGCGGCCTGCTGCTTGTGGGCGTGGCGGCTCTGCTGCTGCGCTTCTGCCGCGGCTCGCGCGACAACGCGAATGCGCCGAAGGAGCCGACGGACCCCGTTACGCTCGTGTTCACCGACATCGAGAGCAGCACGGCGCTGTGGGCTGCATGTTCGGAGTTGATGCCCGACGCCGTGGCGTCGCACCACCGCCTGATCCGCGCGCTGATTGCGAAGTA